AGTAATATTTTACTATTCTGGGTTTTTTACTATGGTACGTATATTATACTATATATTGTGTTAAACAGTTAAATCAAGAATCTATGATGGTTGCAATATGAAAAAGATTCTGAACACAGTAATAAATTATTGACCACAGGTAATTTTATTTCAGCTAAAGAAAAAAATTAAACTTAAAATCTAATTTATTTTAAAAACTTTTAAAGCTTAAAAAGTTATTTGTATAACCTACAGTAAAAATTTAAATACTCAATTGACATTTTATTATTTTAATTCATAATCAAAATAATACCGTAAATATATTTTTAAGAAGTCCTGTTGGTTCTTTATTATAATTTTGATTGTTTTTTTCTCCTAGAATAAACAACAAAATCCTTGAAATCTTTTACATTTTATCTCCAACCTTCTTAATCAAATATCTATCAGTTATGCGTATTATTTTTACGAAAAAAAAACGTGAATAATCTCTTTAAGATTCGCAGTTTATACCTACAGGTTTTTTTTAAATTCTGAGCATTTCGAAATCATGAAAAAGTCCATTATATTCAAATATATCCCACGTTTGTGGTACCTACAAGTTTTTATTTCTTATATTAGTACCCATAATATTACGTCTTTAAATTAATTTTATTGCTCCAAAAAGTGTTATTCGAAAAAACCACATATTATTGCAAATAACCAGTAGGATAACTTTTTCATTTCCACGGAGAATCTAAAACTAATCCATTCAATAGGTATTTTGTGTTTATTTGTTCTTTTATAGCATATATAGCATATACCTACTCTTATTGTTAATTAAATTAAAAATAAACAAACGAATAATAAACAATAATATTCAATAAAGTATACGAATAATAAATTATTTAAATTAAATTTTATTATATTATATAGGTACTTTTGTTTTTTGATATTTATTCTATTTTTATGGTCTCAACCTTGTGCATGAAAATACTTTACTGGTTAAATATTAGGTACTATATACACATAGAAAGGTAAATTTTCAATTCATCCAAGTCAAATAATAACAGTTTAAATTCAATTACAATGTGGGACATGTAGGTATACCTCTTGAATATGTATCCCGAAATGGCTATTAAGCATCATTACAATCGTTGTATACTTTACTACTAAACAGAAGTCTAAAAACATATGAAAATATTTTCTTCATACTTTTTGGATAAAAATGACAAAATATTAAAAAATAAATATACTTTAGGTATATGAAAATTAAAAATCTTGTTAAAAAAAAAATGTATAGCCATTTGGAAAAATGTTTATCATCATTCTATCTTATAAACATAGGTATTCTTTTAAATAAGTAGAATGCTGGTATTATTTTTCTACTTAGATTCCGCTAACTATCCTTGGTCAGGTATATTACTCGTATACTTTTTCGTCATTTCAAAACAAATTATATGTTTAAGCAATATTCTCTCGTTTTTCTTGATTCGATTAATGGCACATTCCGGCTTTTGTGTCGTCATATTGGTGCGAAAAATGACGTAGGTATAAGAATATTAAGGACTACGCATAAACACCACCCCAGCCAGAGCAATTAGCGCCCGTCGCAATCTCAAGTAAGTCCGCCTTATCGCCATTGTTCGACGCCTCGTTGTGACATTTTGGATGGAGAAAATGTCAATCGAACTGCAGCAAATGCCACTGCCTAGGTTATTATTCCATTATGATGTAGGTTTCCCCCCCTCCCTTACTTTATTATTATATATAATTATTAAATTATTATCGTATATCCATAACACGTTAACTGACCATCATTATTATACACACGATTTCGGTTCTATCGGATTTCACTAAATCACATCACTTCGAGCATTGTTGTCGCAGTTATTCGTGTATAAATCCTGCAGGAGACGCGCACGAATAGGTCTGTATATTTTATAATATTATTATTATTCCATTTTACGGGGGTCTGTATGTCGGTTGTTTTTTGTTCTTTTTCCGTGCATATTTTTTCGGGTGGAAGAAGTGAAGAGTTTGTGGAAAATAATAATAGGGGATACGGCTATGATATCCACGCAAACCACTATCTATTGTACTCGCGGGACTCTGACGTAGGGGTACATATATAAATTCTAGCACGCCTAATTACCCGAGTGACCTACCGTGTTGTTTCCCAAAAATTATTAAGATCTTTAATTTTAAAATTTTCAGTTCCCCAGTGTCGTCGCCATACACTACTTATATAATAATAATTTATAGTATGAAAGACACACTGCTATGATACTTATTATAAAAGATTGCACTTTTTTTTTTTTTTTTTTTTTGACAATTTCTATCGTTACCTATGCGTATCATATGAGTTAAATGTATGATAAAATAGTGTATTCTAGAATTTTGTTGAATAAAATATCGAATCAAAAATATTATTTTTTGGTCGATTTACCTACAATTATAAATAAGTACTTTGCATCAAAACAACTTAAAACTAAAATGTTTTGAACGTTTTCGTTGTCTACGCAGTGATAATTCTAAGCGCTCTAACTATTAAAAGTATCCCTTAAAAATTATAAAAAATATACTATTACAAATGTGTTGTTACTGTTTAAAAACTTACATCATTTAATTGATTTTGTTATTTATTTCTTCCGTTCTTCAATTAGATAATGAATTCTACTATGTTCATTTTAATTTATTTAAAAATCGTTTTGTACTTATACGTAGATCGAAAAATATTTTAAATTGTACATAACATCCAACAGGTTAAAAGACGACAAAAATTTAATTTTACTAAGTGATCTTGAATTATCGAAAACAATTTGAATTCTTTGACTAAAAGAAAATTTAAAAATAAAAAGGATCGTGTGTAATGGTAACATACCTATATAAAGTATATATTAGTAAATATGGTACATATAAATGTGCTACCTGTATTTTAATTCTAAAAACTTCAAACTTCAATATACTTTCTATGCGTTTTTGACATCTGACATGAAAATGATAAACGATAAATAACGTATTTCTCTACAGAGATAAATAATAAATCAGTAATCAAATTTAATACTTACCGGCATGTGCATTGGACGATCACGATGCATATACACGAATGCACGATATATTATACTCATAACCATTTACGACTTACGTAAGAGGTTCAGGTACTCAGTGGTATCTGTAAATTGGAATCGTAAATAAAAATGTGTAAAATGGCGTAGGTATGTAAAATTACACTGAGTCGATATTTGTGGGATTTTTTTTTTTTTTTTTTTGTTTTTGAGTTGTAAATAATTTTTCTCGACACAATTATAATTTATTATCGATAATACAATCATGTGTACTGAGTGTACACAACATATAATATAAGAAGAGTGGCATAGGTGCTAGTCGACAGAGCGTAAACATTTACTTCTTGAAAAACATCTCTACAATCGCTATAATATTAAGTGTATGTTTGCTATAAGCAGAAATTTTCCATAATTTTAGAGGGGTCATATTTAAAAATACTTTATTGCATATCAAAACCGCTCTCTGAAGTTTAAAATATAATGTCACCCTAAACACCATGCAAAATCTAAGCGTGATTTATTTTAGACATACTATACTATGCATTAACTCATATGTATACTTGAATTTTAATATTAAATAATGTATAAAAATAAGACATTTAGTAAAAACTCTTAACAATGAAACTAAAATATATTTATTTTAAAATATTATATCATTTTTTTTTTTTTATTGTTTGCAAATGATTCCAGTATATGCCAGTATGTCTACGCATTGAAACTAGATTAAACTTATATCATTTAAATATACTAATACATTAATACTATAATATTTATTACGCCATGCCGCTGTGGTCTATAGAGAAGTATGAACTTTGGTAATGGAATCAGAAAATATATCACATCCGATTTTTTTTCTAAAATTGTAAATTTTTTTATTCGCGTTCCAACAATATTTGAATTGAAAGTTAATATACATATTTTACTCATATTATTTATTTTTTATTGTGGTAACCTGCAGTGAACAATTATTTGAGGAGGCTAATTTTTCTATTTGTACGTATTGAATGGGCTTAGCCCCCTCAAACTCTCCCAATTTCCACCTACTATAGTTATATAACTGTAATATGGAATCTGTTGCAATGATAGTTATGTCAATTATTGAAATTCAATACTAATTATAATTGTTATACTTGCTATGCGTCGTATACGAGACATTTTGCGTGTAATATAATAATTATTTCATGTTTTAATAGCTATTGAATGTTTATATACCCTGCGGCACCGCGTATAGGTGTATACATATACGGTTTACTCTGTAACGTGTATTTATACTTATTATACCTAATAATTGTACTATATTCGTATACATTTATACTCCGCGTATTATATATATTGATGTAAATGTGATCGTAGCCATTGTATGAGTAGCAATACTTATAAAATGAACGTTTTGCACGCAAACAATTGGTCCCGTAGACCAAATACATATTATAATAATATGTTCCCAAGTATTATACACGTGTTCGGACGCATATTGGCGATGCAGACTTTGGAAACTTAGCTACTCAAAAATAGTTGTAAACATATTGAATCGAAAATATTTTTACTGCCATACTAAACGTTAAGAATAATATTTTTTTAATTATATAAATTAAAACCCTGAATGGGTTCGCTTTAACCAAAAAGAGAATTAAATTATTAATAAAATTGTACTTTTATAATATTTTAATCATTATTTATCATTAATTCACATTAAACTTTGCTATGATAATCATAATATTAATTCTTTAAAATGTTCTACTGAAATACCTATATTTACTAGTTTTTTTTAAATGTTTAATACGTAATATAAGTAATTTATAAGATAATATTTTTTGAAAAAAAGTTTTATGGAGGGAGAATAGAGTAAAATTTTTGAAAAATTCACCGTGGTTCAAGCCAGAGAAAGAAGCTCCCCAAACACTAAATTGTAATCGCTATTAACACTTAAATTTTTAGGTATTTACTATTACGATATTTATTTGGTTTTGCATATAGGTTGCCTGGCTTAGAGTGGACACACAGACGATACTGTCCATACAGACACTCGTGGTGACGAAAAACGACCGGATGGAGGTTACGCACACGGATCACAGGGTGTGGAGATTACACATCAGAAACGTACGACAAAGTGACCGTGGGTTTTATATGTGCCAGATAAACACGGATCCCATGAAGAATCAAATCGCATATCTTGATGTAGTTGGTAAGATTCATAAAATACGTTTTATGCTTAAAAACTGTTTTTTATTATTGTAATTATCATTATCAACACTTATAGACTTATAATATATTATAATATGATATTTATATACGTTTTTCATGATGATTTTTAAGTACAACTTATTATGTACATTAAACTTAAGTAATATATTATATTTTACTAAAAATTAAGACTCAAAGTTAAATTTTCAACTCTATATATATTCTCATATCAAATTTAATGTATCCTCCCCAAGCGACTCTGTCCATAAAGGATATTGGCAATTAGGACTGTAGAAGACTTGTAGTAGCATAAGTTAGTGTGAATTTTAGGGATCGAAAAAATTACTTAGAGCACATAAACATGCGTGGAACGTACATCTCCCAATCATATATTATAATTTACGGCCCATTTAAGTGGGTAGGTACCCATTAGTTATTACATATTATATATCCTTACAATAAAATTACAATATTAAAGAATTATAGGTTAACTTAAAAAAAACATATTTCTTACATTGATTATATTATCTAGTATTATTTTTATCGAATACCAATATTTACTTTTTATTTATTTTATATTTTGTGAATAGTGAAAAATAACAAGCTATTTATAAGCAGTATTTGAATATTGCGTGACATTTCTAAAGTTACATTTTTATATGGTATAAATATGATAAATTGTTATTTGTTTGACAATCACTATATATTTTATAAGTTATACTGTACAGGTCAAAATGTGAGAAATTCTTAAATCAAAAATAAACAATTAACAAATTATGATATTAAAATCTAATCTAAAATTTAATTGAGAACAAGGATAATAATTATTATTATCGCATTAATACAAAGCTGCGACGCTTGATATTTTTATTATTTCATGATTACCTAAGTTATTAAATCTTAAAACTCCAACTTAACATCATGTGCAATAGCTACTATAGATATTTACAAGCGTATAACGTCACATCATTATATTTCCATAGTTATGCATTTATAACTATACAGTTCCATGGAATTGTGAATATAATATGCACACCACATGACACATCAAGTATAATGTTATAGGTTAAGATTCTTACATTTGAAACCCAAAGTCATAACAAGAAACTCCTATACAGCCCAAAGGTAATTCCCAGGACCAATTAAATGCGTTAATTATTCTTGATTTATTTTTCTGTACTTCGTGATAGCAGGTGTTTTCCTACCTAGTTATTAACTGTTGAGTTTCGGATGTTATTTATTATTAATACGCAATTCTAATTATATTCGTACCTATATATTAACTGACCGCAATAAAAAAAAAAACAACTTCTAAAATTCCATTTAATTTATTAATCTTCTAAATAATGCGAATATACATAATATTATATATTATATATTAAAACACATAGCACATATATATTAGCAATATTATGTATTTAATAAAGTGTATGCTTACGTTTTATAATAGATCGTATTCGTAGACATATAATATTTAGAATCAATAATTATCTATAAGAGTATGGTTTAATTACCCGAAATTTTAGATTATTCTTATCAACGAATAAATAATCAAACATTTTTAAATTATGTTTTGCAGTAAATGTTAAGTTGCGTCCCGGTAAAAAGGTCCCCATAACACATAGTACGTAAGTTGCGGCCCGTGTTTCTGTCATATATACGTTAATTACGTCTTACGGAAAATCAGTTACTATTTTTACTACTATTGTACTACAACTGTAAAGACATATGAACACAATTTAGTAATTCACCGATAACTTTTTAATACGAATACACGAATAAGTTAGTGACTTTTTTCACATAAAATGATTTTAATGAATAGTGAATTATACAATACAATAAAAAGTGAATAAAATAAAACATTAAAATTTATTGGTGGTCATAAATTTTGTTTTCATAAGTTTTTTAAAATGATACTGAACGTTGGCGTTGCACCATCAAAACGATTAAGTGCTTTGCACAATTGAATAGTCTTAATTCTGTAATTAAAAGTTTTAATGAACATAGTCATAAACCATTATCGGAAAATATTTTAGCTCGATAAAAACTTAGTAATAATTTAAAACGAAAAGCAATTGATGACATGTTTACTAGTTTACTAGACCATCAAAAATTTTACATTCTGAATTGAAAATATAACGTCTGTAGGTGTTTTATAAATAAAAAGAAATATCCATAATGCTCGATCTTCGGAGTTACCTTAATTTCCAAGGAAAATATTAGTTGTAAATTTGTAGCATACATTTTAAATTTTAAAATAAAAAATACTCGAGACGCAATTTACATATGTACCAAAAATATATGAGACGCAATTTAGATCAAAAATGTACATTGAAATGCAACTTACAGTCACCCATATTTTATTACGTCAATCCAAGGAGGAATGGTAGCTTTAGATAACATGACTTTTTACGAATTTTTTTAAAATAATGATTTCAGATAAAACATAAAAATATTATGCTGTAATAATTCATATTCCTAAAAAAATATATAATTATTTTACATACTCCTACATATAATACATAGCAACATACGAATTTCATTTACGAATAGATACTAGATACTAGAACTTACCTATTATAAATATAGTACTGAACATTACCAGTAAATTATAAATTATAATATACATACATTAGATTTAAACAATAGATCTAACCTTAAATCTTACCATCAGTTGTTATAATGCAGGTCCATATGGCGATATAGTAAAATACGGTGCAACACGATTGCGTACTTTTTACTTTTTTACCTGAAAAAACACAACACGCGCACTTTTTACCTTTTTATATTTAAGAAAATACAAAACGATTGCACACCGTTTACCTAATTATCTTAAAGTCCTTGCCTCTATTAAAGGTTCAGCTTCAGTTGCCCATAAAATCGGTGTAAAAGTAACATCAAATGATTTATAATTATTGAGTATATAATCAGTAAATTTAAAATTATCAGTAGGGCTATCTTCAATTAAATAAGCAAAAACATTTCTACATCTTCCTAGGGTAAAAATCTAAGTGAAAAAAATTGTTTCAACCAAACACCTAATTCAGATTTTGAACTATAGTTTTTTAACCTATAATCATTTAAGCCAACAATATAAAATGAAACTAATTTTGTACGCAATCGTATTATATTTTTTCAAATATAAAAAGGTACAAAGTGCACAATCGTGTTACGCCCGCCCAGTAAAATAAACGCCAAATTATATTCCTAACACTGCTGAGGAAGTTAAAAATAAAGGAATAATTGATAAATAATAAAATAAAATGATTTGTAATATAATTAAGTATTTTAATAGGACATTTTGAAATAGAGGAAATTAAGCATAAATAAGTCTTATTAGTTATTATTCAATCCATATGTAATTTACCATACAACATTTAATAAACATTTATAGGCGTAACTATAGACGTTAGAATTTACGAAATTTGATTTTTAATTAAAATTATTTTATCGTACACTAATGACCTATTAAATTATAAACTGTGAAATAATAGTAAATTGATTTTACAATAATGTAATGTATGTTTATTTGTATGTGTGTGTGTTTAAGTAAAATTTCCTTGATTTTCAACTTAAAGGGTGGTTCCTGGTATCAAATTAGATTTAAGTAGTACTTTTGCGGATCAAAAATTAAAAATTCCAAGTACTTTTCTTAATTATCAGAAACACAAAAAAAAATTTATGAAAAACAGACGTTTTTCTTTAAACCAGTTCTTAACTAAATACATTTGTTTATTTTTTATAATTAAAAAATTAATAACTAAAAACTTTAAATTTTCATCAAGGTTTTCTATAAATTGTATAATTTTTGACTGATATCAAATTATTTATAGAAAAATAAATACAATAATATAATATAATTAATATATTATAAAATATTTATCATGAAATATACTTAATGGTGTAGGATCTATCAGTCTACTTATATAATAATATAATTGACGCAATGTTTTCGGCAAAACTTAAATCAACCTGCTATAATATTAATAGTAAAATAAATTACTTTAATAGAAATACCAAAAAACATATCATGAAATGTATTTATAATGATATAGGTTAACATACCTCAGACGTTACGAATAGTTTTTCGTATCCAATGATAAATCATTGAATTTAAATTTAATACATCCATTATAACTCGACGTCTGCTATACAGTAGAGAATAGGCGTAACTAAAGCTCTAATTCTGGGGAGGGGCTCATTTTATAAATGAAACAAAGACCCGCGGGGCCTTCGCCACCGCACTCTCGACATACTAATAATATTACAAATCTGTAGCAATATGGCAGAAGTTAATATGAAATTGTTTACAACTTTCACTAAAATACAATTTGCAAATGATATGTATTCTCTCTTGCTAACTAGATGTATATTAACCAAAATCTAATCAAGAAAATAATAGATATTTAGTATAACTATAGAAATAACAATCAAATAATAGAATTTTAGTGTCAATTGAGAACTTAAATTGTATTTTACCAAAAGTTGTTAACAATGACATATTAATTTCTGGCATCCTACCATAGAAATAAAGAAAAATAAAATAGTAATTAAAATAAATTTGTATAAAAGCTTAAAACACAAAAATTATGTACCTATGTAATTTTTAATTTATATTAATTCTCTATTTTTGAAACTTTAAATTTCCAAAATATTTTTAAATTAAATAAATACTTCTAAAAAAAAATTATTCAGTTCCTGTAAATTATTTATTTATTTTCTCAAAATGTTACAACACTATTATTAATTTGTATTAATGTAAAACGATACATCTATCTTTTAAAAAAAAATTATTAACAACCACTTCAGTTTCTACTGAATTGGTAATATTTCTCTTAATATTTAACATGGATAAGGAATAAAATCTGTCTTACCTCATACTACTTTTCAACCAATGTTTGATGCATATCATCGACGAAATTGAGCGTTGACGTGTGACTAAACTAAAAAGTATTATAAGAGCAATTTGTAATAATTTTTAAAATTGGAATAAATATGTTTTTCATCAGTTTTGATTACCTACATCATTTTTATCAATATCAATTTTTATTACTTTTAATTTTTAAACAATGTATGCGACTGTTATTTTAGATTTTAAACTTTCAATTACGATTTGTGATTACAAGCGGCTCACTATCAGATATACCTTAATTATTAGTTATAATTTATAGAGTGTTGGTATCGCACCGTCAGTGTAGTCCACTGATTCACCGTTATGCTTTTTGAAGCGAACATTTTTAATCGTATTTATCATTAAATAAAACGTATTGATAACATAATAAAATTATAACGAATCATTTCTATTCTATTATAATTTATTATTATTTATTACAATAATATTAAATAAACAGTTATTAAAATTAATTTTAATACCTATACTAAAATACATTTAAAAAACTATGGAGATTTAAACCCTCCCTAAATTGCGCCTATACAGCAGAAAGATGTCCAATAGCCCTCAATTTTTATTTTTATTTAAAGCATTTTAATTATTTTGAAACAATTATTTTTTATTTTTTCCTTCATATAAAATACATAAAATTCACCACGCGTTTAAAAGTTATCTATACACTATAGAATGTAGCGTCTGTCACCAATAACAAAATCGCAGGCATATATAGGGGTCGTTAATCATTACTTAATTAACGATTACATACAAATAATCAAACTTAAAATGTTTTTACAATCGCAATTGATACATATTTATTATTTATGAAATTAAATCTAACAATATTAACTCTTAAGTAAAAATTACTATGGAATACAAACTAATTCAATTTTAACATTACACTATTGTATTTGTTTGTATTACTAAATAGTATGTATCTACAGTATATAAAGTTTGAAAAACACTGCTTGCCATATCATTTAAAAAAAGATTATTTTTACAAATCTAATTTACTTTTTTAGTGCCTCCAGATATTTTAGACTACCCAACCAGTTCAGACATGGTAGTGCACGAAGGTAGTAACGTAACGTTACAATGCGCCGCTACAGGATACCCAAGTCCAACGATAACATGGCGAAGAGAAGACAATCATAACATCGTTATTTCTAACACACTAACTGGTAAACTAAAATTATTGTGTAGAATTACTGCGTAGTTGTTTAACTAAAAGATTTAAATTCAAAAGTTTACTTACAAAAGTTATTAAAAAGAATTCGGACATTTAATTTAACATGCAGTGCATTTATTTTAAAGTTAGTTCACATCAGTTAAATCAAAATGAATCAATTATGATACAGTGTTATCAATTTATAAAATTCTAAATTAATTTAATTTTTGATTAAAATTTTTTTTTTTAAATAATTATTAATAAAATGTGTACCTAGTTAAGTATTTATTAATTGAACTCTAGTTAATTATTTGAATAACTTCTTTACAGGAATACTATTTTTGCACTAATAAACTTGGTAATAAGTTTTGTAAATTGAAAATTATAATTTTTAAAAAAATACCATGATAATAAAAATAATAATAATATAACCTCTTCACAAATTGTTAATATTTAATTTCCATATCACGAAAACACACCCGATTTATCGCATTTTATTATATCTAACTAGTAACTACTATAGCAGTGTAGCTATACCTACAAAAAATTATAAATACAAAGAGTATTAATTCAACAGTAAATTCTCAGGTTTTATTACCTACATAGTATAATTATGTAAAATTTATTTATACTTTAAAATCATTATTCAATTTTTAATTTAGTATAAGTATTATTACTGGTATTTAATATTGAAAAAAAAATTGAATTGTAATGTTTTAATAATTTTTACATCGCCTATAATACTTACTAAAGGCAAAAATATCGGTATAATTCGAAATTAAATTAATTAAATTAACTGTATCATAAATTAAATGAATATTGACCGTATATTATTTGCATATTTGTTTTGACTAATGAACAAATCAAAATTGAATCTATACCGAGCAATGTCACATTATTTCAAGTAATAAAATAATAACCCGAAATCAATATTTTATTTTAATTGAAACGCTGTCAACATTTAAACATCGGAAGAACACAAATTAATTTTTCAAACAAAACTTTGAATTTCATACAGCAATAAAACAGGATAATATGAAATATACATTATACTGTTATAATGTCATTTAAATACAATAATTCCCATTAATAAAAATAAAAATAAAAAATACATACACGCATGGTAGGAATGTGAAACTAAAATAAATATTTGTATCATAAATTTAACGTTAAATAAATATTTAAAAACAAATAATAATTGTCAATGCGTTCATCATATCATAGATACGTTAACTATTATATGTTATGCACCTTGCAGTAATGCAGTGTATACATATATGTTAATGTTGAGTGGAATAGGTTATTGAAAATAATCGCAAGAAAATGTTTAATAATATAAAATATATTAAAGTATTAAATTTAAGAACATATACAAACACAGGTCGCATAACTTGACCGACTGTCTATATATTCATACTTGTATATTATACATTTTCCATAAGAAAAAAATAAAGTGCATAATAATAGCATTTATAAATTATAACAATATCTATAAATCATGTGACTATAGTTAATTACAGTATGTGCTACTTGTATATTAAACTGATGTATACAAGATGTCTTGTTTAATTTCAACAGGTAAAAATAAGAATTTAATGGTACGATGACAGAAATAGTGCAATATTATGATATTAATATAATGTAACAATAAAACAAATTGAATTTTCGATTCTAACTATAAGTAGACTATGCATAGTAATTTTTCCGATTTTCTACAGTTGCAGTAGTGGATAGTTCGACACTTACCTTTCACCGTGTGACGAGACAACACATGGGTTCATATCTTTGCATAGCTTCCAATGGCGTGCCGCCGACAGTCAGCAAGCGCATTACTCTGATCGTTCACTGTACGTTTACAACATTTGAAAATAATCTATTATCTATACGACAACTATATAATATAATAATGATCCAATTCAATTAATTACGCTTAATATATTTTCAGTCGCTCCCATGGTTTGGATTCAAAATCAACTAGTCGGTGCTTTTGTGGGAGATCGATTGTCAATAGAATGTCACGTTGAAGCATTTCCAAAGTCCATAAATTATTGGTCGTCAGAAAACGGAAACTTGCTAACTCAAGGTATTTACGTTTTAATTCATTATATGTCTATATAGTGAAACTAATTCATTATTACGTACAAATAGCTTATAATGATTACTAAACCAATAAAAGTAAGCACCTACCAAATTACTATTATCCATTTATATATTTGTACGTAATCTTTAATAAACTATTCTTTAAAATAGTATGGTAATCTATCCTAAATTTTGTATGTGCCTATGTTATATCGATATTTTACCATTTAAGTGAACTTGATCACGTGTACCTACGTTAAACATTAATATGTATTTAAAATTTTCCATTGCAGGAGATAATTATGATACAACGTTAAGAGAAGTCAATTATAAAACAGAAATGAGATTAACTATTAATCAAATAAAAGAAGAACACTTTGGCACATATCATTGTATTTCAAAAAACTCTTTAGGTGCAACGGACGGGACTATCAAAGTTTATAGTAAGTTAATTATATAACATTATACTAATACTAACGAATATAATTTGAAAACATACCTATTATTTGTACATAATGTTTTTTTTTTAAATAGAATTACCAGGAAAAAACTGGAACAATAATTATCAAACGTCCATGACAGCTTCAAACAACGGCCTGCAGCATATTACAGGTATATTAATAGTCAGTGGCGTAGCCAGGGGGTGTTGGGTTGTAACCCCCCCCCCCACCATTGATTATTTTAATATTTTTAATTATTCAATAAATTAGCGATCAAAACAAAAATACTGTGTTTAATGTAATGAAGTTAAAATACTTTTACATTATAAACAAAATAATTCTAATTAAGATGCTTATTTTAAATAGCTTTTATTTTTTTTTTTGCTTTCTATGTTCTGGCCAGCTAAAATTTTGAGTTATCCATTCCTGGTATATACCTAAACCTCAACCTCCCTAATTTAAAAATTCTGGCTACGTCACTGATAATAATACCTATCCAATAAAGCCGCTTTCCATACAATTTTAATAAATATAATTAATTGTTTTTTATATCGTGTTAAGTCCTTAAGAGGATAAAAATATCTAATACCTAGGTACTAAAACATCTCCGTGAATTTTCACTTTCAATAAGTACAGTGATTTACGTAGGTACTATATAAGTACCAACCATTCACTATTAATTTTACGTCAATCTGCAGTCTGCATAAGATAAAATAACACACGATTTAATATACATCAAACTATTTAAAAACAGGGTATTGGTATATAGTTTTAATATTCTAAAGATTCGAATACCAGCAGCCAGTTATAGGTATACACAAATATTTGTTTAACAGGTTTTTATATATAATATTATATAAATTTACAAATGTTTTCGGACGTATAAAATCGTCATCACTGTTTTATTTTAAACTTATTTATTTCAAAAAGGAAGTAAATTTTTAGAACGAACAAAATACTATTTCATAGTTAGAAACGTTGAGTTATTTAGACTTATGCACTATTACAATCTCTGAAAAATTATCTTAACTTTAAAACATTAATAATAAAAAAATCATACTTTAGTTATTCACCATTATAACAAATGGCTTTATATAGGTAAGCCACGAAAATATTTTAATTTTTCATTATAAACATTTCCTTCGAACATCAAATCTAATAACACAGTAATAAAAATCTTAACCCGTTGATAAAGGTACAAAACGCAATTAAATTTTTTTAATTAGCCACGATGCCACGATGCATAATAACGTATAATATAACCTATTATATTAAGATTATTAAAATAAATTATAAGCTATGATTTTGCAAATACAACGAGATTTTTCAAACAAATTCGGAATGACATGAAAATCTCTATTTTTTCTTGGATATAAATTTTTTTAATATTGTATATACATTGCCCAAGCTCCTAAAATATGGTTATTTGTATGCCTTATTTTTATGTAATCTATAATTTTATGTTAACAGGGTCAACATCTAATAGAGAAGGGAAAAGTAACTGTGTATCGATCAATCCTAAGCCTTTAGTAATTTTTTATTGTATTCTTTTATGCGGAATACTGTTATCCAAATCATCATAAGTGTTTATCAAAACGACACGTTATTTTTTTGTGAAAAACAGGGTACCATAAGTATGTAAAGCTTGTATATAGTTTATGGTATAGTATAATTTATTAGCTGTCGATACCGTGTTAACTACGCATAATACTATGTAAGGTAGATATAACAATAATGGTATTGATGGTAGTGATAATTATAAATTTATAACGATGGTGAATTATTGTCTATAGAAAACGTCATCTTAAATTTTATTTGACAATATTAACAGATGTCTATAATATTATAAAACGTATTTAAACGAGAAAACAAAATTTTTATGTAAATTAACTGTCAAATAGATATTGCAATGCCAATTATACAAACAACCGCAAAAAGACAACAAGATTTGTATTGATTTGAAATTATTTCATTTGAACATTGTTCATGTACAAAATGTAATGTATCTGTACTTCCAGCCTTCAGTAGAAATAAGATGTTAAAAATAATTTTTGAATAAGATACCTACGCTGTAGTTTGTAATTCTATATTTCATAAGTCGCTAGTATTATACATGTATCTATCTAAATCTTTATAAGAAATACATATTTTTAGTTGACTTAATCGTTACCAAACAGAAAACATTGACCAATACTCGTATGTCATTGTCATACTATGATAATTTTAATAATTAATAAGTAAAATGTTCACCGTGTGGAGACGTTTCAACAAGCTGTTAAAATTATACGTATTTATTTAATAATATTATTGATATCTATGTTTTTTATGTATATAAGAGAAGTTTTGAATTTTTTTTCTCTTATTGTATTGTTAAATTAAATCATCGATACTTATTATTAATATAGTTCGTTTTTACTCATTATAGTAATACATAGCATCATGATTCATTGGTATCTAATCTATACAGGCCGTAATAGGTAAATACCGCAATTATGTACATTTATAAACAAAAGTATCTTTAACGCTATGAAAATGTATGAACTAATATCGTTTGTTCCAGCAAGAGCCAATGATTAAAATAAATAGGTATAAGTTATTAATTCAGTGTTTGTCTTAAAATCGATAGGCAACATTCTATACATTTACACCACCGTGCTAGTCTAAATAATAAAATAACATGAGTTAATCGTTGAAACCACGACATTTCAATATTCAAATCAAACTATTCATGTATGAGGGGGGCTATCTAGACTTGAGACCAAATATTTATAATATCACTCGCCTGATAATAAGTCATATCGCTCATATTTTTATTATAACCTATTAATGTAAAATATTATGAATAAATTATACGAATAGGTCATCGATAAAAATTGTGCTCAGTTCATTAAATCATCAGTTCAAAAACTGTATCCATAAAATATATTAAGTTTTAGATATTTTTAATAAAATCATTAACATGATAATTTTATCGATTTCAGAGATGGCATATTATCACGAATAATACAGTTAATATATTATGTTTAAAATTGTTCGATTATTCTGCTTTTATATATATATGTATGTATATGTAATGTGTATAATAAATAATAAAAGATAGAGCACCAGCCGGCAGCCACCTATACATAAAATATGTAAAGTGCTAACTAAATTTAAAGAATAAAACGAATACATTTTTCAGTAAATTTATCGTTACCTACCGGCTAATAATAACTTTTTTAAATATACCTACTGAAAACAAATTAAACTTATAATCAATTTACTAAGTTTAATTTATATACCTAGTGATTATTTAGATGTACTTACATTTAATATAAATGCATATTCTCGTTTTATTTAAATTCGTATTTTATAAATTTATTTGTATTATATTGGTAGGTATTCTATATTTAAAATATTCTAGTAATATTCACAACATACATTCCTTAAAATATTACCCATGTAATATTTTCCGTAAAATATCATTATATTCATGTATCTCTCAAACTCATACGTCAAACGATATAATGTATATGTTGGAAATACAAATAAGAACATATTATGAAGACTGGAAATATCTCTATACATTTATCACGGGGGAAGAGGGTGCAAATGTTCAATGAAATTGTTACCCCACTGAAAGTCTGCACTCTTCACGTCATAAGTACCTATGTAACCTACCAGTACATGGCTATATAAATACAATTTACCTACCTCACTTTATAGTAAGTAGTCAACTTAAAATAAAAATAAGAAACAAAGCAAAATATTGTGATAGCCAAGGGCATGCAAGTAATAATGGTATTATTGTACCTACCTACCATGAACACAATTATCATTACATATGCATGAAATTAAAAATATAAATTCCTTAAATACATAAAAAGTCCTTTGATATGTAAAAAAATTATCATCTTCTTTCACTCAACAGCAATTATCTTTTAAATAGATTAAACATTTACATGGGTAAGTGAAATTCATTAAAAGAACGTAGACACAGTTCTAATAATAGGTAGGTACCTACCTGCTGTTGCACATTGCATTAAGTAATATTAAATTTAGTCTTTGAAATGTACAACATTAGTATATAATTAAACTTTTACTTTTAAATATCATGTGAAGTACCGGGTTAGTCATCTAGACAATTCATTATCATTTAAAATCATCTAGACTTGACTATATTAAGAGGGTGCCACATCCTCTTATGTGTTGTCTCCATCTTACATACATACAACATGGCAAATTTATGTTCAGAGGAAACCATTTTATGATACCTAACTTTAATACTAGAATAAATTTACCTTTTGTCAAACTTAATGGTAACAATATTACCAAAGGTATTTCATAGACTTTTATTGATATTATCATTTTAAAGTGAGTAATAACTATGTAAAATATTACAACTTTAAAAAGATACCTAATAACATCTATAAAAGCCTATGAGATACCTACTCTGCATTTTATTCTTATCTTTGAGTTAGATAAAAAATATATTTTGTTTAATATTAAAGCTAATAATAAAATTAATTTTACTATACGTAAATGTGTTATATTCAGTGTTGAATCCAGGTATACTTTGGTGGGAATTCGCCACTCCCCCTGAAATTTCTTTCGTACCCCCTTACAAATACAATTTTCAACAAAGTGAACCTATTTATTAAATGCACAAATGTACAATACTTGTTACGATTACCGCGCCTAATGTCTAGATCGCAAATTGTAATAACTAATAATAAGTATAATTTATTATTTTTAAAATGTATCAATATTCACCAATAAAAAAAAAAAAGTTCAATGATCCCTATCCAAAGAAATTGTCTGAATTCAACACTGGTTATATTATTTTTATGTAAGATGAAGACAACGCATGCAAGTATAGCATTGTCTTAAATCTGATTATAGATAAATTATAAAATACGAGTATATTGTCTCAACAATACTTGTTCTTTTGAATATATTTTTTATAAAAGTTATTATTTTATTATTGAATCATAAACCACAGTCGTTAAAATTAAAAAAAAAAAAATCCAACATTTAATTATTTTGATAAGTTAACTTATGCAATTATGAATTTAAATTATGAAATTTAAAAAAAGTTGTAAATTTTAATATTTTTCTCCCCATCTATAAAACAATTTTTAAATATATATATGTAATTACATTTAGTATTAGTATTTAGTAGCATATTATAGTATAAATTGTTATTCATTTTATTCATTATTATCAAATGACCTTTGTTGTAATGATGACAATGTTATTTGTAATATTTACAAATAATGTAAATAGTGCTAATAATTGCATAAAATATATTTATAGAAACTTAAATTAATATCCACCTATATAATTGTATATAATATTAGCATTTTTTGTACTTTGATTGTTAATAGTAAAGATGAATTATTACCGTAATTGAAAATTTAAAGTAGGTAATGTTAATTTTTTCTCGTGTGTTTTTTAATGATTCCTTTAAAAATATGACATATGTAATGAATGATGAAAATTTACTACATATTCACACAGTACATAAAATTTAAAAAATGCATAATATTGCATCTGTGATTATATTGCTCCATATAGGCATAGATATTTAAGCAATGTAATACACCATTTAAAGTTATAAAAACATTTGACATTTTTCTCATCTCTTGGTTTAAAAATACCAACTTAATACTTAATTTTACAAATTATATGAACCGTCAATTTGATGCATGAAATCTCAAACAAATTGTATCAGTCAACTATTACATACTAGGTAAAAACACAAGATAGGTACAGAAAAATATGAACATAATATATTGATGTAACAATTATTATGAAACAATTTATACTTGCAAAAAGTAATATTTATAAGTTAAAAATGATAAAACCAAAAATTTTTTTAGCTGATCGATAAAGAAGCAAATTGTTCTCCAATACTTATTAATTCTTCAACATTAGTTGCATTACATCCAGATGCTTGAGCAGTATCAGCCTTGCCTCCTCCTTTACCATTAATACACGATGCTATCTTGGTCACCCATTTATTTGCCATGAGCCCTTTTTTGTTTAATTCTTTAGAAACTACACATTGGCAATATATTCTTTTGCCTTCTGTATCTTCAGATAATAACATAATTGATATATTAGGCATATCTGCCTTTAATAATTTCAACACTGCATCCATTACTTTAGTATTGGAACCTATGTCAAGCTTATAAATAAATATCGATTTGTCTGACTCTGAACATATTCTTGTTTTTAATGATTTTGCTATTTCATTAGCTAAAGCAATTAGTTGTTTTCGCTCTTCTTCAGCAATACCTTTTTTTAAACCTGATAAGATACTTCTTAACTCTTCTTTTACCCAATATGGTATTACAGATTTATTTATCTTATCTTGTATATCAATTATAGATTTAGATAAATTTGGATCAGTAGGAATTAATTTCATCACATCTTTCTTCAGTTCTTCACCTCTATTATAAGCTTTTGTTGCATCTGGACCAGTTACAGCAACTATTCTTCGTATTCCCTTAGATATTGCTTCTTCAGAGAGTATAGTAAAACATTCCATGTGCCCAGTTTTATGTAAATGAGTGCCTCCACAAAATTCAACAGAAGTTTCTAATCCTGAATTTCCTTCCGGGTTTGATAGAAGTTGGTCTATAGCAACTCCTACTGAAACTACTCGCACTGGATCTGGGTAAGTTTCATCAAACATTGCACGTAAGCCTTTTATACGTTTGGCATCGTTTAATGGTGCAATTTTAGCATATACAGTATCATTCTGTTTAATTACATTGTTTGTTAGTTGTTCCACCTTAGCAACTTGATCACCTGTTAAAGCAGCTTTATTGTTAAAATCAAAACGTAACTTATCTGGGGCAACCAAAGATCCTTTTTGATTTAAATTATCACCCAAAACAACGCGTAAAGTATGATTTAAAGTGTGAGTAGCAGTATGATTATTCATTACAAATCGCCTTCTTTTTTCATCAATCTTCAGTACTACTTTATCACCCACTTTTAAGCTACCACTTTCAAGAATTCCAACATGCAAAATATAGCCACCACGCAATTGAACATTATTAACGTAAAACTCTGTGTATTCATCTTTGACAATAGATCCTTGGTCATAAATTTGACCACCTTGTTCAGCATAAAAACAAGTTTTGTCTAGTATAATTCCACATTCTTGAAATGTATCTACTTCATTAACAAATTGACTTATTGTTCTAATACTCAGTACAGTTGATGTACAAGTTTCAAAAGTATATTCTGCATCCGGGTCATCAGATACAGCTTTGTAATTATATTTTGGTGAGTCGTCAGTTGTTGGTATACCTTTTGTCTGTAAATCTGCAAGAGCATGGACATCTAAGGAGATTATCTCTTTATCACCACCTACTTTGTTCTGACTAATAAGTTGAGCTTTTTTTTTTGCTTCTTCGTATGCTTTCATGTCAATAGTAAATCCTTTTTCTTCAACCATTAAATATGTAAGGTCTACAGGGAAACCATAAGTATCATACAATTTCCAAGCAACTTCACCAGGTATAACTTTATCAGTCAATTTCAATATAGTTCTATTTAAAAGATTACGGCCACGTGATAAAGTTCTCAAAAATTGCTCTTCTTCTTCATTAATAATATCTATTACCTGTTGAGGGTCTTTGGTTATTTCAGGAAATGTATCTCCAAGTAAATCAACAACAACATTTACTAGAGTTGCAAAGAATCCAGGTTTGCCATTTAATTTTTCTGTAGCATAACGGACAGCACGTCTAAGAATACGTCTCAATACATATCCACGACCAGTATTGTCAGGACTTCCTCCATCAGATAGCGCAATTGTTAATGTTCGTGCATGGTCAGCGAGTACTCTATAAGCCATGTCTTTCTGGTCAACGTCATCTGCACCTACTTTACCTTCATAAGGTGGAGCATTAGTACCGTTTTGAATAGCTACAAACAAAGGTTGAAACAGATCGGTATCATAATTAGAACGTTTATCTTGTATAACCGAAACGAGACGTTCAAATCCCATTCCACAATCAATATGTTTTTTAGGTAAATTATGTAGAGTACCATCTTGATTCCGGTTAAATTGCATAAAAACAAGATTCCAAATTTCTAAGACATCTGGATCATCCTGGTTTACTAAATCAGCAGCTAATCGGTTACCAATACGATCATAATGTATTTCTGAACAAGGACCACAAGGTCCAGTTTCACCCATTTCCCAAAAATTGTCTTTCATATTGCCAGGAATAATATGATTTTCCGCTAATCCTAATTTTAGCCAGATATTTTTACATTCTAAATCTGGTTCCAGACCAGAGTTTATATCACCACCAAAATATGTAACATACAATCGTTCGGGTGATAATTGAAATTCTTGGGTTAAAAATTCCCAAGCCCACTGGCATATCTCGACTTTAAAGTAATCGCCAAATGACCAGTTTCCAAGCATTTCAAAAAATGTGTGATGATAGACATCCTTACCAACATCATCAAGATCATTGTGTTTTCCTCCGGCTCGGATACATTTTTGTGTATTGACAGTCCGTTTCCACTTGGCCATATCAGAGGATGGAGCAACAGTACCCAAGAAAATGGGTTTGAATTGGTTCATTCCTGCGTTGGCAAACAACAACGTAGGGTCATCTACAGGCACTACGGATGAGGAATGTACATATTCATGACCCTTCTTGTCGATGAAAAATTTAATATATCGATCCCGGATCTCTTTGGCAGACAGAACCATTGTAAAGCAACTAGTGATGCGTTTTAACTCACGAAATCAATCTGCAAATACATCACACATATTTAAAATAAACGTCCAGAGAAATAGCAAGCAAAAACAAATCAATTCAAACTAGTGTACAGACATACCTGCAATGCACAACAAATAGAAAATAGCGACGACGGCGATAGATTAATATCTACTGATGGTAGGCAATAATGACCCTAGAGCCTTGTTGTAGGCTGGGTCCTATGCACTAAGCAGTGGCAAAGTAGGTAACAACGTGTTCAAATATTATGAAAGTATAAAAATGAAACTGAAAACATGCCATGATAAGACTACATAAGTATCGACTTGATAACAAGACTTATACGATAGTCAGTTTTTTGATTGAAGATCAAATATCTGGAAGAAAAATAATATTTGACCATGTGTTTATTATTATCAATACACTGAACTCGTAGATAATATTATAATCATTATCTGTGTTGAAAATCGAACTGCAACAACTAAATTTTTATTTTTATGTAGTAGCCAATAGGTCTATACAGAATTAGATTAAATTAAATTAATTATTTTCATTAATTATTAGCTACAGCCTGCGATTTGCGAGATCAGAAATACTAGAATTTCCGTTTACCGATTCACACTATTCCGAATTTTTAAACTTCTGCAGCTTTTCTATTAAAATGTATTCCAATCATTCGTCTGATCCCAGAAGACCGGACAAGGAGCACAGGTATAATTAATAACTTGGATATTTTATAGTGAATCGTGTCATGTCAAGTAAATTTTATTGAAAAGAAAAATATTTGAAAAATTTAATGTAGTATTCTAATGTTTGCTGTATTTTATTTTTATACATAGCTTAAAATATTTGTGATAATCTGTTTATGGAGAGGATTGCTTAAGGTTTGGTATGTTACGCAATATATCGTCCTATTATTTTAGCTATATACAAATAGTAATTAAAGAGACTCATGTTCTCAAAGGTACATAGCTGAAACCTAGTTTCTAAAGTAAGGGCTATCAGTATTAATATTTGAAGTGAAGAAGTCTTACTGATTACCATCAATCATTACCAGCATCTTGGTATTACTATGTCGATACCCTACTGTTCAATACATTTGTAACCAAACAATAGAGATATGAAGTTTAAAATTCAACCTATACATTATCTAATTAACAATTTCAGGTACAAACCAAAAGCTGTCAATAGTGATAATCAAGCTCTAACACCTGGTGAAGACTTGACATCTGACTATATGAATATTTTGGGAATGATTTTGAGTATGTGTGGATTATTAATGAAGGTAAAACTAATTCATAGTGTTTTTGTTATAGTTTTTATATCTTCATATTATAACTACTAATAAAAAAAATTGTTTTAGTTTAAATGGGCAGCATGGTGTGCTATGTTTTGTTCATGTATAAGCTTTGCAAATTCTAAAGCATCTGATGATAACAAACAAATTTTTAGTAGTTTTATGTAAGTATCCATGTATTTTATTTTTGTATTTTACTTATATTAGATATCAATGGTATCACTTTTTGAGTAATTATTACTTATATAAGTTATTTTTATAAGAAGTTCTACACATGCACATAAATAATAATTAAAGGTGGGAGGGAAAAAAAATCTCAAACTTAAGCTAAACAATGATAAAATATAATTTAAATATATAAATATAAGTATTATATTATTTATATAATTAATATTTGTAATGGTATATTTTAAGTAATTAAAAAAAAATGTTATGAGTGGAGTAAAAACATTAAAATAAAATATCATCAAATGTATTATTTGATATTAGTCTATAAGAACTACACGTGGTAATAACTAATATTTATTTATTTATAAGTTTATATTATTTTTGCATGAGGGTAAATGTCCTGTTCTTCTTCCCTCCCCCCCCCTAAGAACACTCATGCAAAAATAGGTTCTACTGAAAGTAAATATGTTGCTGTGTTATATCTTATCATATAAATATTTAAAGATAATTTTAATAAATAACTTATAAGTGGGATGTTACTTGTATTATTTATAGAAGGCTTTAATTTTTTTAATATGAAAAATCAATAATTTAGTAATTGATAATAAATATTTTTTTCAAGAATAATCTAGTCTAAAATATAACTTATTTATTAATTTAATTCATTAGATGTATTATTTCTTAGTATTGATAGAAAAAAAATTTATTTATCACAAAAATATGTTGTTTCAATTAAATCAATTTACTTACAAGGTATTAGTTATTTTAAAATTGTATGTATAAATGTACTAAACATAAGCAGAAATCAGTGGTTAGACAAACCTTAAGAAATATCCTAGCCTACTCAATTTTTTTTTTACCTATTATATTATCAATGTTTCTATATTTTTAAAAAATGATTTTAGATTATTTATATCAAAAATTACTATTGTAAAGACCTTTATTAAAAGTATTACGGTCAAACTGAAATTGTGCACGTAGATCTTTCAAAAACCATCAATCCTAATTTATACAAATTACTACAAGTTCTGCTAGATGTGAACAGTATTTCATCAAAGAACTGTGCATAAACAGGATTAAGGAATTAAATGCTTTGTAACACACACTTTAAATTAAATACTAATAATTAAAGCAAGGATTTGTATGCGTTTGCATATTTATTCTGATTGATTGTATGATATGCTAAGTGAGCACAAAATTTATTTGATGACAATTTCAAAAATGAAATTTTTTTAATGCAAACTTTTGCATATTTCGACATTTTTCTACTTTAAAGGCTTATTTTACAATTTTAATTGCATATTATAAAATGCAACTATGACTATTGTTGCGTGCCAATATCAGATTCAGATCCAGGGTGTTATTTAAATGAAATTTACAACTCTTAAGAACAATAATGTTTTATTATGTATAAATAAAGTTCATGTAACTGATACAAAAAGTGGCTGTGTTGTGAAGTTGCTCAGGTCTTCGTGGCTTTGGTACATCTGCCCTTGTTGGTCTCTGGACTCCCTTATATACAAAGAAACCTCTTGTTGTTGTAGTCGATAACCTTTCAATTCGTATTAATTCTTGGAATTGTTTTCACACTTGTTTTATCGATAACAACAATCTCCAGGATATCTGTTCCCAATTGTCAATTCGTGGAAATGCAATAATATATTTATTATGATGTTTTTAAAACAAGATTCATAGAAATATGAATCTACTATCTCGTACATATTATAGACATATAATATATTATATTATTACAATTTACATTAGGCCACATATATATATCTATATTACTATTGCTAATACTTCTAGCAATATTACATATTATATTATATATACTTATATTTATTAACATATCTCGTAGTCCATAACACTATTATAATAACAACTATTAAATAATTAAAAAATCATTGAAGTTTTTAAACATTATTGTTAAAAACATTTCAAATTCCAATATTGATTTTGATTAATTTTAGCAATAGAAAAGTTAAAATAGTTTTGATGGGTGAATATAAGGGGGTTTGGAGGTAATCATATTTTCCTATTGTAATTTTTACAATAGCTCTATTCAATAATCAAAAATAAATTGTGAATTGATCATTCATATTTTACAGGCTTTCCATGTCAGCAATTGTGATGTCTTACTTACAAAATGCACAACCTATGTCACCACCATGGTCTACAACATTTGGATAAGATTTTTATAAACAAAAATAAAAATAATATTTTGTATTTATTATGGATTAATTATACATTTATTGTATCAGAACTATAAATAAAAAATGTTGCTTGTTAATATTATTTTAATAAAACTATAATCCAAATTTTTAATTTATTATTATATATACTATTTGAAAATCATGACATAATTATGAAAAAAAAATTATTCTGTTATCATAGAGTATTTATGTTAAAAATAATTATATATTGTTTCATGCTTTTGACTCTTCATACTAGTCATAATTATAGTAATCTCCCTCTACAGTAAACAGACTCACAATGACATTTCATCTTTTTTCCTGGAACACTTCCTATATCATAGCTATAATCCCAAGTTAGTTCTGTTCCAGCTTGTATGTAATGGAGTGCAAAAAATGATACCCATGGGAACCGCAAGTCATGCGTATCCACAAACACATTTTGGACAAAAGTATTTGGAGAACATGAATGATTTAAATAACGTCCAATATTACCATTAGTTTTTGCATCCATAATATATACACTCTCGTTATTTCCAAAATATTCACGCATTGATTTTGGAGGTTCAGGGTTGTTTTTCATATCACGTGCATTTAATTTAGATGGAACATGCACATGTTTATTATCTTTCTTAGTTTTAGATTTTTTCCGTTTGCGCAATCTAAGTGTCATTTCAGTTCTTTTGCCTATATAATAAAAACATTGATATTATATTTTAAAAGTATAATAAATTATTAATAATAAAAAAATTACCATCAGATGTAGAAGGATATTGTTCATCAGATGATTCGGATTGATTCTTTTCCAAATCATTCTCATGGTCACTATAAGATATATCACTTTCATAATCTTCTTTTATTTTTTCAACAACTTCAATATAATCTAATTCTGCCAAATATTCATCGCCATAATTTTTGCCACCTTCATTAGCATCAGTTTCAGTTAACAAAGAACCAACATAAATGCATATGAAACTTCCTTGAGGTATATCGTTTAAACATCGTACACCCCATCCTTTTTTCTCCGTCATGAACAATTGTAATTTTTGTGATAATGGATTTTGTACGACACGATTTAAACATGAACTGGAACATTTACATGTTTTATTGCATTCATAAATACCAGTTAAAACTCGTTCAGGCAATCTTCGATAACTGTAACCAATATTAGGGTCTTTGTATAGATTAGGTAAAATCTTCTGTCCATCTATAGTCATCTGCCAACAGGCACATTTTGATTTATCTTGGCAGTCATCAGTGCAGTCACAACCACACAAAAAATCAGTATCTACATTTATGTTAACACCTGGCATTGCTTGTCTAGTAGTAATATAATCCATTTTTGGTGGCAATATATTATTAATAGTATTCACACATGTTATGCCCCTAAATTCCTTACCTTCTGATATATCTTTTAAAAACTGCACATATTTTATGATTTTAAATTCTGAAAATGGTTTAACCCAACTATTAAAATCAAATTGGTCAATAGTCATTTTGCTTTTGGTAATGATAAGATATTCCAGCATCTGTTTCATGTTTCGAATGGTTACACCACACGGAGTTCTGTATAAAATATACTTTTGAGAGTTATTAAATAATGTAAGATACCTGACAAAACCAAAATGTAAAGGAATACTCAACATGCTGATTTGTCTTGTTCTTTCATAGTTATATGCTGTCCATTCAACACATGAAGGATTACATTTGTGTTTAATAAATTTTAATGGATTGGGAATGTTTTTAGGCAATATTATATCAATAATCTTAAAAGTATTGGTTTTTTTTATACATTTAGTATTAACATCAAATCCATCACCTGTATTTTCATCTTCTTGTGTTGTTAATTTGCTGGTACTTTTACGAATTATACCATATTTACTTGAATTACGGCAAGGTTCTTCTTCTACACTTGTAAATTCTACAAATGGCTTATTTAAATAAGCCAATCCAGATTGCCTTAATCGAATGCCCCTCTCAGATTTGGTTTGTTTTTCAAAAATATTATACAAACGTGAAGAACCACGATAAATCCATTCACTATGTTTATAATCAGGAAAATATAATTTGACCAAAGATGAATCAACATCAAGCACTTTTGCCATCTGCCATTGGTTGTCATGTTCTGCTCGAACTGAATGTTGTTTAGTCAATTTAACCATTTGACGTTCAGGATACTTTTCTAAATAACTTCTTATAAATTCTCCTGAATTTGGGTGTACATCATTCCATACTTGATTTGATTTGCGTGCAATTAAACGGATATCTTGATGTTTTCGATATTGAACATAACCATGATCAAAAAAAATCAAGTATCTATAAAACAAATAATTATTATAAATATAAAAAACATTGTAATACCTTTCTATTAGATAATTAACCTTACCGAAAGTCATTAAGCATTTTTGGAGGTTCGGCTATTATACCAGCATAAAATTCATCGACATGTCTAAAATATGGATCTGAATATTTAGCAATTATTCTACAACCCACAGGAAATCTTACTGTATTCAGTGTAGAGAATGCAACTTGTTTAGTTGTCACTAACTTTTCATCGCTGTCAAATTTGACATGTACATAATCACTATTAATTAAAGTTTTGATTTTACATCTATACCATGGATGCATTAATGTTAACTTCATTGCATATACAATTTGTTCATTCTCAAGAGGAGGATAGTCTAAAGGCCCTTCCATAGGTATATTAGAAGGAATAGGACAATAAGTTCTTCTAATAGAGATAATATCTTCCTTATCAGAGTTATCAAGTTTAATTCTTTTAGCTTCTTTAGCCGTAGTGAGTTCTTCTACAGGCAACTGAAATTCATTATTAGGTGCTTCGAGGTCTTCATATTCCTCATCTGTGCTCTCCTCCAGATCATTGATTTCCACAGGATCTAAAGATGTTATTATTGGTTGATATGGGTCATATATTTCATTTCTTAATGATTTCATTTCATCTTCTAACTGAGCAGCAATTTTATCAATTGCATCTGCTTCAATCAAACATTTTTTTATTCCTTGTGTCATATACTCATCACATAATTTAACTTGATGTTCAAAGAGATATTTGTTTTTATCAAAATAATGCACGATTGCACTATCAATAGCCTTTTTAACTTCTTGGTCAGGAGGTAAACCCTCTTTAGAAGTACTAGGTTTTGGATGTTCTGGTTCATCATTTTCTTCACACGACGAATCATCAATAACCAAGTATGAATCATAACTTGGAAAACTGGAATCCATAACACACTTTCCCTCCTTCCATTTTAATTCAAGATACTTATAATGTCTAAGACATTTAGCTAGACACGTTGAGCAAACCTGAACAAACCAAAATTTTAGTCAAACCATCTATGAGTACCATTCAATTTTTTATGAACAATATCAATTACCTCTCTGCCCGGTTTGTAATCGACATCATAATAAGAGCATACTAATGCTACCGCATCGAGCAGGACATCACCATACCTACATCGCCTGTTGATACATCTAAGTTGACGCCTCTGTTCTTCTAATTCTTCAGGACTAATTTTATATGGTCCCAAACTTTTACTGGATGAAGCCATTTTTAATTTCTAGTCAAAAAAAAAAACAAATCAAAAATGAATAAACAATTGAAGCATAATAATATGTGATTATGATATACTATTTACAGAATGAAGATGAACAAATTAAATTACAAAATACAAATCTGAAGTTATTCAGATGATAAATACATACTTTTATAGAATTTTCAAACGAAATGACTTACATTTTACTGAACCATCAATTTGGCGAACTTCAAACAGAACCGATAAGAGTATACGAGTATAAAACACTAAATATTTTCATAGTTGGTTTTCATTGATTAAAAACTATCTCCAATATTTTTCCAGTAAAAACTAAAAACTAAAAACTTATAATTATTTATCTGTGAAGTAGACTGTACTACAAAAAAATAATAGTAGGTTCCACCGCTAGTCCATGAACAAATACTTCCGAAGTACCGACTACCGTTTATAATGTTCTCCGTAAACAAAGAACATGAAAATTGTAAACAATAATTATTAGTACTAATATTGTTTACTGTTGACTGTTGTACATGTTTATCGACTATTGATATTGATATTATCAGTTATCATTAACGGGTTATCTATACCAACGTTGAAAAAAAAAAATCCCAAACGTTAGTAATCCGTAAGGTAAATTATTGAAGTCTTAACCGAAAAATAAAACAATAAAAATACTAAAGTTGTATAGCTATAAAAAATAAAATATATTATACTATTAATTATCATAGATAAATAAGAAATTCTTTATTATCTATGTTAATTATACAGGATTTTAATTTCTGAGAGTTTAAAGCCTTAAAAATAATCATGGCCGTGACAAAAACTGATAATATAGAACGAGCGTCTATACTCTATTCAAAATGAGATCATTACCCAGCAGCCGGCGGCGATTATACAGACTACAGAGCGGTTGTCAGACTTCACTAGGTCAGACCTACAACTCAGAAGCATTAACCACTTGCCTGAGACTTCGGTCGCCCGAGGATGGATTTGCGTGCGTGCGTCATACGTGACGTATAAAATAATACGCACAATGCATTTTTAAATAATTTTAACAATTCGACAGTTGATACTATATAGACTATAATGAAGCACTCCAGTCAGACGCCACGAAACAAAGTCACGCCCATGCACACAATTTGGTTGCTGAGTAATGATCTCGTAACTCGTTTCTATTATGAATTTTGGAAATTATTTCATATCTTTTTAACACATTGATTATTAATTGTTAATGTAGGCTTATTTATAGTCTTTGATTTTTTGGATGAAAAAGAAAATAATTCAATAAAAAAATGTGGAAAATCAAGAACCAATTAATAATAAAGCACAAAATAAAAACAAAAAATAAAAGTACCAGAAGAACAAAGATTGATTATTAACCTACATTAACAATTAAAAATCAAATAATCAATGATTTAAAAGGAAATGAAAAAAACTCCCAAAATACATACGTATTGATTCTAACCACCCTTAATTCTTATACAAAATAAGACCTAGACACCTAGTTAATACCTACCTAATTAATAACACTTCAAATTTTAATTTTAGTTATAGTAAGTATAATTGTAATTTGAATTAATAAAATAAGTAATTGTGTACTTAATTATTTATTGTAGAGGTTCTCAAACTTTTTATGGCACAACCCATTTTGGATATTATTTAAATTTTGGCAACCCATCTGATGACCTTTTCTTTTTGCTTTTTCGATTTTAATGACCATATTATGTCTAAAAAAGTTTATTATTTAAAAATATGATCGCAACCTATAGTTTGGAAACTTCTGGTTTATTCTAATTTCTAATAGTGTGTATTGTACTATCGTGTAAAACAGTGGCGTATTTATGGGGGGGGGGCAGGCCCCTCCCGAAATGAAAAACGCAATTATTAAAAATTGTTATTTTTTGACATGGAATATGTCTTATGGTTGGGGAATGAGGATAATTCCAAAAATTAGACACGATACCGATATCATGATGTCATGAATGAAACTGTCGCTTATGCGATAATTTAGAATAAAAGTATAGCGTGTTGAATGCGTTAGTATTTTGACGATTATTAATGATTATGTAACACAATTTATTATTTAAGTTATATAAATAAAACAAATATTGGTTGTTAGTTATTTACAATTTCGGCAGACGGAAACTATTAGTATATGTAATTTTAGCTCATGACTTCTAAAATTAAATTAATAACTGTAGTGGTGAGATAATAATAATATAGGTAATCAGTGGCGTAAGTCATAGGTGCACATTGGGTGTGAATTTAGGGGGTGCTGGAATAATTTACAGTAAACAGATCCATGGGGGGCTGCCCCTTACACCCCTCTAATACCATAGTAAACTGCGTTCTAATAATTTTTAATTATTATAATTAATATTAAAATGTATTTATATTATATATATAATAATAATAATAATAATATCTAATCACTAATTAATTTTAAACAAGATTTAATTTTCTGTTAGATAATACAAATTTTTATTATATGATTGCTGTTAATGTTCAACGTTTAGACGAAAACTGGAACAGTGCAACGTGCATTCATACAATACAATCAATACATTATTAATCGTGAATTCATAAGCTACATATTGTCTATTTGTAATGGAAAAAAAATTCCAACCCAATGAATCACAATAATTTTCAAATAATTGATAAAATACTCAAATAAATTTTACAGGAAACTGGGGGTGCTGATTTGAAGCTTGAGGGTGCTAAGCACTCCCAAGCACCCCCCCTATGTGCGCCTATGGCGTAAGTTAGGTATTAACTATTAATTATATGCATTATATTAGTATTGATTGTATTCTAGTTTAATTTTGAGTGTCTCTAATAAAAAATTGTTTATAAAAATATAGTTATTACTTTTTTTTATGTTACAATTCATTAAAAAAATGATTGAGTTTCTTATTACTCTGATGGTCTAAAGAAAGTTGAAAGATCTTGTAGTATTCAAGCAATTTTTGTCCAAATAGTGTGTCTCCTCCCTCCTTTCCCTCAAGAAATCCAAAAATATAATCGGCCCCCTACGAAATAAAAACCTATATACGCCACTGGTGTAACAACTATGTGATGATGGATGGCACTGTGATAAGAGATTAAGAGAACTGCCCCGAGTCCGAGAAGGCTGTCTCTAGAGTCTAGACGTTCGTTAATGTAAATTATAATTATCAAAAAAATCACGATGTAGACTGTAGAGAAGATCTTCCTATCTCCTCGAGAAGAAAACATAAAGTGAAAAATTCAAATAAAAAAAAAAGGAAAAAATTTTAAAGTAAGTAATCAATCATTTAATTTTTTTATTTCATTTCTGTATATAGGTAGTTCAACACTTGCAACCACTGTAGTACTATACTACTGTACAGTTGTCGATATCGAATTTTCAGGTGTACCTCACTTTAAGTAAGTCACTATAATGTATGAAAAAAATATTTGAATTTAGATTTACAAATGGTAGGTAAATTTTGAAAAAAATGTATCAAATTTAATGTTAGACATGATTTACAAAAATGAGTAGAAGACAATGGCAAGCAACAATTAAATTTAAAAATATTAGGCAAATAAGAATTACTGCAGTTGAGAGCTTATAATTATTTAGTTTATTAAGACGATTTTAAGAAGTCCGTAGAAACAGCTAGTGTATAAAGAAATTGGTTTCACCTTGACCCTGGATGTTACGTAGCTCCTGATAAATTTTACGAATTGAACGACGTTCTGCTGCAAGAGTTCAATCATGCACGTGAAATGGAAATTATCTTGAAAAAAAAAACAAATAAATAGTAGGAATATAAATTATAATATCACATCTTCAGCTTCCGCAGACAAAGAGAGAATAACTTTTATAATTATAAATTTAGTATCAACCAGTTTACTAATTCTGAATTCGAAAAACTTTATAAATGGGAGAAAGCTGAAAGGCAGATCAAGATTTAAAAGTAAGTCTTCGTGAAACTTCATATTATCACCAATAGTACCTATTTGACACTCAAGACATCGTGTGATTCAGGTAAGACGGTCAATACGATTTGTTTGGTCTTAACTTCTATATTGCAACGCCATCTAATTGTTTGTTTAATTAACTATTATTGATAGATTAGGCTACGTAGTTATAAGGACTCCGAGTGAATACCGCAACTGAGACGACCCATATTGATAAAGAATAGAAAATTTAATAAAATGCGTCTCAATGAAATGGACAATTAGTATACTCGTAAAACTAAAATATACAATTTCTTGGATGGTTTGGCAAAGCAAAATTACCAATTGGCACCAAATGCGTACAAAGATGGACGGTAGCTTTAATATACATACCATATAATAATAATTGTGGGTTGTTATCGAAAGCGATAACAACAGCCAGCAGGTATCGGTAAAACGAATATAACTTACGAAAGCGCTGACCATGTAAAGCTTATGAAGTCACTTAAAAACTATCCTAAAGAAAAAGTTTTATGTAAACAAGCTTAAAAGCGACACAAAGTCTGTACGTGCACTTTTTATAAACTATAAAGACAAAAATCACAAAAAATCAGGTTAAATTATTGCTATTATAACTTATAAATACTCATTATTGTAAAAATAGTGTAAAACTATCCATGGTATAAATATATGTAATATCTTAAATTAATTTACATTATTAATACGATAAAATTCATAACATATACCTACGTAAAATATTTAAGCTTTGACGACTTATGTTTTTGAATTATAGCAAAATAATAAGCATCATCATTATTCATTGTTTATACACGTAAATTCATTAAAATTCTAACTTTTAGCTTTAATATGTAAAAACAAATTGTATTTATAATTTTTTTTTTATATCAATAAATATTCTATAATTATAATTTATAAATAATTATTTTTTTTCATTATTTTTAATTCTTTTACGTTTTTATTTTCATACAAATATTGACATTCATTTTAAATTTACTCTCTAAAATTTTGTTTTTCTAATTTAATAGTTTAATATGTATCAATTATATTTTTTTGTACAACAATATTTGAACATATTTGAAAGATACCTACAATCTTAACTCTTTCATATTATACTTATTAGTTTTAATTAGAAAAAAAAAATTAAATAATATTTAGTTTTATAGTTTCATCTCTAACAATTAATACCTATAATCTTTTACACGCAGTATGCACACAACGATAACGCGTAACTGTATGAAATCAGAAATTGCCTACCTACAACTCCTTAATTACGGCCGGTACCCAATATAGCCTTAATTTTATAAGCTTCTCACTTTTATAGATTTATATATTATACGAGTTATGAATACCTATAGATAAGTATATTTATTTTAACTATAATATCCAATATAGGTATTAGATACCTGAAAATGAAAATCCCATTTACAAACTACCCTCCGATTTTTTTTTAAAGTAGGAATACATCTATAATACTCAAATAACTACAAACTTTATGTATAATTATACAACCTAACCGTTGGGTTGAACACCTCAACAGCTTATTACGATTTAAAGAAATATATTTACTAGTAATTTGTAAGTAATAACT